GATAATACAAGGGTGAAAACACACTTTAAAATGACATGTTTCTATGAAGAAGATATTTCATTAGAAATAAAACTCCTCTAATCAGTAATCTTTACTGTTCAAACCCTTTTCTCAGTATGCAGTTTGTTAAAATGATGGAACCTATTAAACATGTTTGAACTCTTTTGAAAACACAAATCAAGCTAATAGGAATTAATCTAATATTCATTAAGCCTTCTCAAGAAAATCTTAGAATAGGTAATTTTCCATTAGACTGGTAAACTCAGGTAAAGCTGCTAATCACAGTCTATATACCAAGAACTTAATATGGGGGATAGGAAGAGGAAGAAATATTCTTGATCGCTGCTCATTAAAATACATTGGAATTATGAACCCAGAGAAGTAAACAGAATGTAATTCTAATATTGTCTTCCTAGTAAATAGAATATAGAAGATGAATGTCTTAAATGACAAAGGTTTCCAATATAAAGAAAAATATCAATTATTCTGTTAAGTTACGTATTTCACTATATACTCTTTGCCCTCTGTAGGTTATGGACCAGAAGCATGTAATTTAGCATCACCTGTAGAAAAACTGAAACATTCCGTTTTTAATTTTTATTTGACAGACTATAATAATCTCAGGCATTTTCTTTCACAAACTAAATCACAGACTAAATAACTTTCACTCGGTTTCTGCTGTGACTTGAAGATCAGACAGGAAGATGCCAACTACCTTTTCTGATTTATTTTTAAGGCAAGAAAGACATACGCATCATCTACTTTTGTCAGCTTGGCTACAACAGAAATGTTTGGCCAACACCAGAAAGTGACAAGAAAAAGAAGTTTAAGCAGCATTTTCAAGCACAATTGGAGAAGAACTTGACATATTGCAGTAATATGACAAGTCAATGCCAAGGAAAGGCTCTAAACCAGAAATTCACTGTCAGCCTGAAGAGGCAAAATACTAACTCCAGTCACCGCTGTTCCCTTCCACTGCTGTCGGTCGCAACTTTGGTTAAGAAAGGTCTAGAGCAGATACAATGGCACATGGGGACATTGCACTTGCCATTTTTTGATTGCAAAGGGAAGAAGGGAAGAAAGGAAGAATGGATGAAAGGAAAATGGTTTGTTAGTTTTTGTCCTCCCAAGAACAATAAGGGCCTGTCAAACTCAAATAGATAACCTGAGGAAAATTGGGTGACTCCTGGTTAGGAAACTGGTAGACTAGGTTAATTCAGGTGTATCTGTTCAGGCCACAGAGATATATTCACTCTGCCACAGAGACATATATTTTGAAGGTAAGTGTTAGTAACCTGTTCAATAACATGCTTACTTTAGGAGTTCCATGGCTGAATTCATTAACCTTGGTTTTGTTTGCTTGGTTTTAGGTTTTGGGTTTTTTTCAGAGTAAATTTTTTTTCCTTTTAGTTCAGTTCATTACCATGCAATGTAAAGCCTGTGAATTTGGCTTAGGAGAATACATTTTACAGAAAGGGGAAATTTCTGCTAATGTTATCTTTAAGGAAGTCATTCTCTTCTAGCATCTGCTGGCAGCAGCGCTTCCCAGTGACAGGGAAGTTTTTTGTCACAGCTATTCCACTTGCACGGTAACTACTTGTGGAGAACAGAAATCTGTGATTTAGTTTACCCACCTTCTGTTACAGAAATCCTCACAAATGAAATAAGGAAATACTCTTCCCTCCCCCACTTTTTTTTTTTTTTTTTCACTACTGTCATGGAATCTTGTTCTGTTTTTATTTCTACATTTTCAGTCTCACAGTGCTACCAAAGATTGCTTCCAAATGAGGTACATTGATGATTGAATAGCAAGTGGTACACTCTCTGATGTGTTTCATAGATACCACTGATTACTGATTTGCTTGGCCTTGGGCATGCACATATATAAATATATATATATGTTATACTAACAAATCTTAGCTGAATTTTATCAGCTCATATTTTACTATCAGGGAAACGCTGCTTTACTTTTTATGTTATTCACTGCATTATGGTATGCTATTCCATTCTGTGCAACTGTGATGCAGAAGTTTAACAGATGACTCAGAGCACTGACTGTGTAAATGCTTACTTTTGCAATTTTGTCAGTTTATGGGAAAACATACAACTGCTGTTAAAACTCAGGCTATGACACCATGTCAATTAGGGAACATATTTGTTTCTATTGAACACAACTGCCAGGAAATAACACATAACACTGACTGATTTGCAATTATGACAGAATTACATTAAGTCTTTAACTGAAATAATTATTTATAGGACATTCAGTGCTGCATTCACGTGTAGCTACAATAAGATACTTGGGAATCAGACAAAAAATTCATGCTTATATTTTGTTTTCATGTTTTCAGTCACAAATCTGTAAATATGTGAATTTATCATTTTATGTGGATGGTTTCAATGTTACTCAATATAGCTAATGATAGGTACATTTAATTTATCCTCATTATAACTAATGGCTTTTGAAGTACAGGAAATGTTGTGTACATACATCCATCACATTTTGACACACAAATGGATCACTTGAAAATTCAGGTTTATGCTACTGATTTGCTGTCTCATAAATACTTTAACATTTATTGTTCTGCTGGACTGGACATCTTTCCATAATTGTTCTAGTGTGTTCCATTGCATATGGACCTCAAGGCAAATTGATCAAAAATCTTAATATTTGCATCATATATTTATCCAAGCTGAAAAGTGAAGGTAAAGACAGATTACACTGTCATTTTTACTGTGCTATATCCTGGCTTACTGATGGACCACTGATCTGAACTTAGAGTTAATATATTGTGTTCACATGGCTAGGAGTCATACTTGAAACGCGGTTCCATTCCTGCTTTTTTTCATTTATTTCAGAATTCTAAAATACGTGCACTTGCCAATAGCTTAACATTACAGATTGCTGTCTCCCTGCACGGTCCAGCACTCGCTCTGTAGGTGTTCGCTCCATGCCAACAGGACATGAACTAGCTCCAGCATAAAGACACAGCGTGTAAGCTCATTCAGTAACTACTCCAGCACATCTTGAATCCTGCCTGCATTCAGCCAGCTTGGTGTGCAGGTGGTGCCAATACAAGTCTTGGCTCTCTAAGGAGCAGATAGAGTGTGAGTGCAACCTTCAGTCATGCTATTTGGTTTGTAATAACTTTGGCTTTTGCAGAGGTTTTGCGAGTAGGCAACTTTATGCATGTCACGTAATGAAAAATGTGTGTGGCTAGTGGAAATGTGTGATTTAGCTACCGCTGCTGTTGCTTTTTTGGAATTCCCCACATGAGGTATCTATATACCTTGCTCTGTAGTGGTGATATTTGAAGATACTCTGTAAAGTAGATTAGTTTAATTCCTGCTAGCAGAGGGCCTTTGTAGATTGGCTGGTATTCTTGTCTCTTGGGACAGTGAAGACAATATCCATTTAGCAATTATAGGATAGCCGTGTATTTATTGATGTTCTGTTATTGCACCCAGGTAAGCTAAGATCTATAGTTGATCAAACTTAACATGTGTATAGCAGGAACAATGTTTTCCTCTAAATATGACTGCTATGCTCGTATGTGTGACCTGGATCACAACTTTGGGTTCATGGCTCATTCTCCATTCCCTATATATATTCACACTCATTCTCCATTCCCTATATATATTTTCATGAATTTACAGAAGGACTCTCTTTGCCTATTACTACACAAATTCAATACGATTAACACAGCACAGTGAACTATGCTAGCAAATTCACTAGAACTCTTGTGCCTTCCAACACCATGTATCAGGTACTTTTATGCAGCCTTCTGGGATCAGATAATTGTAACTCAAACAGAAGTATGGATTTTAAACTGATATCTTGAAATTAATCCTCCTTTAAATGGTTTTATCCTCAAAATAGACTCCATCTTGGTTTATTTGGCGCACCTCTAGATTGTGAATACAATCAAAATATGCAGTTTTCTTACCCACGTCATCTGCTGGCATTTCTGAAATGTTTTATGTAGCTACAGCTGAAAACCTGATTAGATTGAGCAAATGAGAAAGATAAAACCAGAACATGTAAATTAAGCATAAATTGACCCTAGCCTGCATGTCTGTGCATGTCTGCATGACCCTAGACAGGTCTGTGAAACCTTAATGCAAAATTTTCAAGAAAAATCATAGGAGCATGCAGGCAGTAATGAAAACTAAACTAGGAAAAGTATGTTAGAAAAATATCTGGAAAAAGACAGTGTCAACCCGTGAAGACTTTGACAAAAGGTAACACACAGAAAATATATGAGAATATGACAACACTCTTCTGCTTCTAGAATTTTACAAAGCACAACTCCGAAGGCCAGAACAGACATATGCTGGCAAAGCAGCAGACATACAAGGCAACAGACTCCTCCATAATGCCAGTATTTTAAGCCAGCAGTAATTCTATCCATGCAGCAGCATTGAGATTTCGCTATGACAAACTATGACACTCTTGTGAGCAGTTTCATATAAAGAAAAAAAAAAAAAAAAACCACAAACTAAAACATAATTCCAAAAATTTGTAAAACTAAAACTCATGCTCTCTAGATAGTAATGAGTGGAAAAAATATAGAGGCAAGATGTCCCAGCAACCGTTGCTGCTAGGACATCACGTAACAGCAACTGGAACAAACAGCCGTGTTGATTTTTGTTGTTGTTGGTTTTGTTGAGGTTTTTGTTGTTGTTGTTGTTTTTGTTGGGGGTTTTTGTGTTTTTTGCTGTTGTTGTTTTTCTGTGGTTTTTTTTTTTTTTTTTACTTTTTTTTTGTCCCCAGTAAGCAGTAGGGCCCCGTGGAGGTTCTCCTCCGAGACCTCCGCACCTCCCCGGCAGCACTAGGCCGCCGATGGAGGACACGCTCCGGGCACGGCCGGCTCCCCCCGCGGCGAGGCGGAAGGCCGCTCCCCGCCGCACCCTCCGCCCGGAGAGGCGGGGCGGGGCGGGCCGCGGCAGCGCTCCGGCCGTTTCCGCCGCCGCCGGGGAGCGGTTCCGGAGCGTGAGGTGCCGGCGCCATGGCCCTGGCCGGCAGGACGGCGCTGCGGTGGGCCCGGCTGTGGAGCCGCTGCCCCGCGGCCTGCGGGCGGCCGTACAGCTCCCGCGGCGAGGTGGGGCCGCAGGGCCGCCCCGGAGGGAGCGGGGTGCCGGGAGGGTGGCGGTGGGGTTAAGTTGTCCTGCAGCGAGCCCCCGGCGGCGGTCCCGCGTGTGGGGGGTGGCCGTTCCGAGCCCGGGCACCCCGCAGCGGGCGCGGCGGACGCCGCTGCTTAGTGCTGAGGGCGGCTGAGGGCGCCGGGCTCGCTTCCCGCTCTGCCGGGCCCGGAGCTGCACGCGTAGCCTGGGTAAGGGGGGGGTTGAGCTTGGTGTACCTCCGAAATCGGCCGGCAGAGTTTTCCCGTAAAGTTGCTGATTGCTGCTAGGGGGTCCGCTGGTTCCTGATGCTGGAAGCTTTGAAAAGCAAAGAACCCACTTTTCTGCAAAACGTCGTATTACTTGGAATGAGCAGGAATAAGACAAAAGTTTTTTTTTTTTTTAGCGTTGGGCGTTTCTGTGTGTGAACCAATGAGGTCAGGCTGGTTTTCTGCATTTTTTTAGTCTAGCTAAGGTATGTGCTGTCTGTAGTGTCCTTTTCCACAGTCTGCTTGCTTATCATAAGGTCACTGCTGACGTGCGGAAAACAGACTCCACAATCTGATAGATTGTAAAGTAGGTATGTTTATTCAGCGCTGAGGCACACAGGGGATAACTCCTCCTATTGTGCGCCCAACGTGGGGTACCGTTACCTTAGATTTATAGAGCAAATGATTACATATTCATAATGTTTCGCAATACGCCTATACATATGCATTACCTATCCCCGCTTCGTATTATAATTAGCATTTCCATAATCTCCTCCCAATTGAGTCTGCGCAGTGTCTTCTGGTGGTGGTCGTGGGGGGTCTTTGGGGATGAAGTCAAGCTCCTCTTCCTCCTGTCTGCTCTGTGACCCCAGGTTTCCCGCAGACTCAGTCTCTTACTGGCTGTTGTCCAAACAGTAGGTCTAGTCCCAACCGGCTTTGTACTGATAAAGCCTAAAGACCCCATACCTCAGCTCATCATGTTTTACAAACTATCTACTCATTAAGCAGAACTGTTAAACTGTTATCTAAACTATTTCCCTTGAACTGTTATCTCAACTATTTTCCCTTGTCATCCCCTTCTTGCTATTCCCATATTAACCCTTACATCCCCTGTTCCTATCTAGGCCCTGTATCACTGCTACCTGAGCTGCTAGGTAATGTCGCTGTATTCATACCATGCTTGCAAATAATGATGTCCTTAATGGCCCCCTGAAATCCAGTTCTCTTAATCCTTAAATTTAGCAGTTTAACAAACTTGAAACTGCTTTAAGTTTTCCAAGTCCCAGTATTCATAAGAAGATAGTACCTTTCATAAACACTTTCTAGCATACTTACTGATTATTCAGAGTGATAAGTAAATATGTATGACTAAAGTGAAATGCTAGCATTTTAAACACTGATGGCAATTTAAGTTTTTGTATCTCTATTCGACCTATGCCTCTTCTAGAGAAAAGAGTTAATCCATTTTAAAGACCAGGTCACATTGTATGTAGAGACTATAACGATGGTTTATGAAAATATATTTCTGTTTTTCAGGAAAATTTAGATATGTCGACGTATCCTGTTGAAAGCATTAGAAATTTCAGTATTATAGCTCACGTAGATCATGGCAAAAGTACACTAGCAGACAGACTGTTGGAAATTACGGGTGAGTTCTCATTTTATGCCACCTTTTCTTGACATGTAAGATGATGTGTAAGTTTCCGTAGCTTTGATTATTACAAAAATTTCTAATATCCTAGCTCTTCTAGTGCCAGGTTGCTTGTGCTTTTAGGCTGCCAGTTGTGTAGTGTTACAGGTGTGAATATGATGAACTTTCTGGTTGAGATCTGCCTACAAATAGGGGTAAGGAAGTGTGTAATTCACTCAAGGAAGTAGGTGTTTTGGAAGGAGACTGAAAAGGAGTGTACTTCCTTGTTCAAGATGCTACTTCTGTCATTCCTGACCAATTGTCCCTTAGATTGGTACACAGCAAGTTTATGATGTTTGCTGCCAGTGTTTGGGGTGGACAGAAGCAGGGACTGTCACAACTTTGGAATTCTGGACAGAGTCGTTTTCAAAGTGTTATTGAAACTGAGAAGAACTTCAGCTGCTTGTGCTTAGATGAAACTAATGGTTTGTACTCTTGCAAGCAAACCATAAGCAACTGTCTTTCATGGTGGTGGAGCTCACTGGTACTGAATCTGATATGATGTTGCGTTGTAAGTTTTAGAAGTACAGCCCTATGTTGATTTAGATTTAGTGTGTAGAATAATTGCCAGTAATTAACTGTAAATTCCAAGGGTTCACAACTGCTATATAGACTTGCTTTTTCCTTCACTAAGTATTGGTGAAGTTGTGTTACTTTTATTTTCAGATGTATCTATTTTCTTCTAGTCAGAGTGCTTCTTGGACTTCAGTGGTTTTATTTTTGTGTTGCTGATAAGGAAAACTACCCCCTTTAAAGTGAAAGTGAGAAACAGACATGCTAAGTGATCTTCATAACTATAAGTCACTCTGGAACTAGGCTTTCCTTGGAAGAGAAAGACAGAGGTTGCCTTAGAGGGTTATCTAAAGTAAGCTGTAAAGCAGTTGCTGTAACTCCCAAGATGAGACTAATTTCAGAGCAGAGTTTAAATTGGCTACTCAGAAATACCCTTTGGAAGAGTCTTGCTTTTTTCATTTAAGAAGTGAACAAAACAAAAGCTGGGAGAGAAGCTTTTGATCAAAATTATTCTTTATCATTTCATCCAGTGTGTCACTATGGGCTGTTTTATCTGATGCCTGTGATAGAATGGAGTTTTGAATTCAGGTCTGTCAAGCTGTATGATAATAGTTGTTTTGCACTTGAGATTGGCACTGGTTGGAGCTGTGGGCCATGGAGCTGCTCTCCAGTGACAGGAGGTGAAGTTTCTTTAAACCTCAAAATTACTTAGCACTGAATGGAATTTTTGCTGCCACTTAATCTCTGATTTAGACTTGCACGATGTTTTGTATCCTGCTTATTTAGGGAATTATTTTATATAACTTTATATATAAAATTTATTTAACACGCTAATAGTTGAAGCATAATTTTAAGCTAAACTTCGGTTTTCATTTAGAAGTAATCAGATGGAAAAGCTTCATTTGCAGCTATGTCTTATGTTCTTCTGGTTAATGGCCTTTTAAAGAATTAGTTACTATGAGAGTTAATGTACTAAATAAGGTAATTAAACTGTTTTTTTTTTAACCTTAGGAACAATTGCTAAGACTGACCGTAATAAACAAGTGCTGGATAAACTGCAAGTGGAACGTGAAAGAGGAATTACCGTTAAAGCACAATCTGCATCTCTCTTTTACAATCATGAAGGAACAAACTACCTCTTAAATCTTATTGACACGCCAGTAAGTTAAGTATAAACAGTGTTTAAATTACAGAAAAATGTGTTTATGTTTAAAAGTAGGAAATTTCTGGCTTTTTGTGTTTGTTCAATTTATTTTTTTTAATAATTGTGAACATATATGCAAATGAAAACTTGATAATATAGATATCTTGCGAAAGGCTTTAGAAATACCTGAAATTTTATACATTTATTTTCTCCACAGGGCCACGTAGATTTCAGCTATGAAGTATCACGGTCACTGTCTGCCTGTCAAGGTGTCATACTTGTAGTGGATGCAAATGAGGTGCGGTTCTTAATTCTTGTTTTCTACTTAGAATTTCAGTAACTTCTTTAAGCAAACTAGAGAAAATATCAGTGTTTTTTTAACTTTTCCATCAGCTTTTTTGCCCCTGGTCTATCTCCACAGAAATACTATGTTGCAGAAAAAGAGTAATGGGAGTTTTAAAAAAACATAGACAGATACTTGTGTGTTGATAGATACTGCAGCTCTATGACACAGCAGTAGAAGTACAGGATTAGAGAAGAATCAGAATGTACTTTTTTACAAAGTATGAACTTTGCAAGTGGCAGTCTGGAGAACTTTTAGCTATTGTACTAACACCCATTTGAGTACCTCCAGTTTGCTGTTGGAAAGCTTGACAATTTGTTCAGCCAACCACACTGTTAGTTATAACTAATTGCTGTTTTGTTTTTGATAGTCTGTAATACAACCTGATACTGGCAACATTAAAGTTAAAGGACACTGTAAGACAAATGTGTATAAATATATTTTGGAAACTTGAGAAGTTTTATATCCACTAGATTAATAGGTCCTCGACTGGTCTCACAGTGATCTTTTTATATTTAATGTGTCTATCTTTTTTTGATGTCACATTTACATTTTATGTGATTATTTGGTATTATTTATTTGCCTTTCAGTCAGAATGCTTACAAACTCAACTTTTTCATTATAATTGCTAATGTTTCTTCTCTCAGCCTAAATTCTGGAGGTAGCTTTCAAAATTTAGGTCTTAACATTCTTTTTTTTTTCTTTTTTTTTTTTTTAATAGAAGTTCTTTGATGCTTCTTTACACTGCGTAAAAATTAGGCCCATATATCCATAGTGAATATCCCCATATAAGTATTTTTCCACTTGATCTGTTGTAAACAAAAGGGAAGACGAGAAGTAGCTTCTTTTTTCCCCTTCTCTATTCCCCTTTCTGGCCGCTCTGGTCCCATTGTGATATGAGGGTTTGTACTCTCATTCATTAGAATCTCTATCTCTTTGTTTTCCGTTGTCTGGTACTTGTATCTGGAAGGTAATCTTCCTTTTTTTCTATAATCAGAGATGTTCTTTTGCCATCCTTTTGAAACAAATGTTAAGTACAAACCTTACAATTATTTTTCTTTTTTTGAAAATAACTGTAAGGTAAGTTGAAGGTATGATCTGTCCCTCTGGAGTAACTACAGTCATATTACCATGATAAACGTCCCTTTTTCTTTGTCTTAGTCCATTTCTTTATAGTTTCCTGTGGATCAAGAATGTGTTTTTTGAGGTACCTGTTATGATCTTGGCTATTCAGAAATAAATAACATACAGAAAAATATGTAGCTGGTGCATAATGTATGCATAATACTGTGTTACGTATATATAATTCCATATATGAGGTCACACATACAGCATTATTAGTTTATCTACTTATATTCAGATTATGGGAAATGATAACTATAAATGTTGTTATCTTTCACAGAAACGTGTATAATCAATAACCTTTACTTATTTTCCATCCCCCAAATGAAGATAGAATAGCGAAGTACTCTTATATTGCATAGAATGCCTAAAAAAAAAACCCAAACAAGCACCAAAACTCACAAAGATTCCCTGTTAAACTTTTTAAATGCTTATTTTCTAGGGTATTCAGGCTCAGACAGTGGCAAACTTCTATCTTGCTTTTGAAGCACAGCTTGCAATAATTCCTGTCATAAATAAGGTAATAAAGATTTTAGAGTTTCATATTAAACAGTTGGGTTGTTTAAATGTGTAGAAGATCGATAAGAAATGTATCCTCAAATAGAAGTATATAATGAAAAAAATAAGTAGAATCTAATCAGTATTTTATGTGTTTGCTCTCTTTAATATTTTACAGTAATTGCTGGGAACTTCAGTTTTTATTTCATAAAATACACGTAGAAGCATTTTACAAGCAGCACTGAAAAATGATTATTGGAGTCCATATGGTAAATCAAGTTCAGAAGCATTATGTAAATTGTATCTTAATAAGGAAATCTGAACCACTTAGAGTTTGCAGACTAATAAGCCACTTAGGTAGTACTCAGTACTGTGTATTTTACTCTAATGAGAACAAGTTGAAGCTGTGGCATTCCGGGATTTCAAATTGATGCGATGTTAAATAAAGGTGAGAATGTTTAGCTACTATGGGCATTTCACAGAGTCATGGAATTATTTAGGTTGGAAAATACCTTTAAGATCATTGGGTCCAACCATTAACCTAACACTGCCAAGTCCACCACTAAACCATGTCCTGAAGTGCCACATCTGCATGTCTTTTAAATACCTCCTGGGATGGTGACTCCACCACTTCCCTGGGCGGCCTGTTCCAGTGCTTGATAAACCCTTTTGATGAAGAAATTTTTCATAATACCCAATCTAAACCTCCCCTGAGGCCATTTGCTCTCATCTTGTTACTTGGGACAAGAGACCGACACCCACCTCACTACAACCTCCTTTCAGGTAGCTGTAGAGAGCGATAAGGTCTCCGCTGAGCCTCCTCTTCTAGACTAAACAACCCCAGTTCCCTCAGCTGCTCCTCATAAGACTTGTGCTCTAGATACTTCACCAGCTCCATTGTTCTTTGGACGCTCTCCAGCACCTCAGTGTCTGTTGTAGTGAGGGGCCCAAAACTGGACACAGGATTTGCGGTCCAGCCTCACCAGTGCCGAGTACAGGGGGGTGATCTGGTCCCTAGTCCTGCTGGCCAAGCTATTTCTGATCCAAGCCAGGATGCTCTTGGCCACCTGGGCACACTGCTGGCTCACATTCAGCCAGCTGTTGACCAACACCCCCAGGTTCTTTTCTGCTGGGTAGCTTTCCAGCCACTCTTCCCCAAAGCCTGTAGTGTCGCAGGGAGTTGTTGTGTTTTGGGCATCAGTGGCCAGAAAGGTGCAGATTAAGCTACCTGTGCTCTGCCATGCTCCATGCAGGCAGGTTGTGATGTGGCTTGTGGACAGTACTAATGCTGCTTTTTGAAATACCGGATTGCTGTGGTTTTCAAATTTGAAATTACAGATTTGAGCAATTTAGAAGACTGTCAGTGTAAGCTTAGGTTGTCTTGTATTTTTATGTATATACTTGCCTTAGTGATATATTAGGTTGTATAATCTCTGTGTCACCTCTCAGCTGATGCTTTAACCAGAGAACGTGTAAGACTCATACGTGTGGATAGGAAGGACTTAGATAATTTGGGGTATATCTAACATTCCTGTAGCCCATCAGAATTTAAATGTACCAATTCATAAACGTTGGAATTCCTTCCATTTAAAATATTTTTTTTCTGGTGAATCTTTGAGTGAGTTTTTACAGAAGTAAATTTAAAGGTTCTTGCTATGATAATCCATATGTCCCATGTGCTTTAGTGTTGTGTTTTGTTTTTTTTTTTTTTAAATTTCTATTAATGATGATACACAGAGGAGATTACATGAGTAGCAGCTCAATATTTTAAAAGTGTAGTTAGTTTTAAATGAAATCCAAATGTTGTGTATTATACAGTTTTTGTGGTCTTAATGATTGGAGTCACAAGGTTAGTTACAGCTCAGCTTAAGTTAATTGGCTTTTGTAGAAGTATATTGTATTTGATATTTGATTTTATAAACAGTATAGGTAGCACTTACGCTTTCAAATTACTTTGTAAAATGAAGATTTTTACCAGCTTTTGGACAAAGGTGTTTTGCCTAATGAAACAAACAAAAAATAGTCCAGTCAGAGGGGAGCCTTTTATAAAAAGAATCGTGATAAAGATATTTTCCTAAAGACACCCAATATTTACTCATAAGTACATAAAGGTTCCTTGACTTGTATATTTGGAAGCTACAGTGCTGGGTCATAGGGAAAAGGTGATTGCCTGTATATTTAGCAGTCTGTTGTTTTTCAGATTGACTTGAAGAATGCAGACCCTGAAAGAGTTGAAAAACAAATTGAGAAGCTGTTTGATATCCCTATAGATGAATGTGTAAGGGTAAGATCTCTTAAAGTTTTATAACCTTGGTCAGTTGTATAACTAGATCTACTTTGTAGCTAATGAAAGACATGTACACATAGTAAATCAACAGGGTGCTGCTATCTGTCTGCTTTTCTTTGACATGCATGAATTTCTTTAAAGTTTGTCTCCTGGAAAAACAGAGTTAAAAATGCTAGTATGTCTTGATAAATGGCATCATATAGATTTTGAATTATTTCTCTTTGTGGGTCCATAAGTTGTTTTAATTTTTACTATAAGAAAAGTGTTACAGAATAATTTATGATCAAAGAAGCATTTCATAGTAATAGCATTCTAAAGTGTGCTTCAGGGTGCTTTTATGGGTAGTATTATCTGTGGCCACCAAAACTGTCTTAGGTAAATGTGACACTATTTAATAGATTCTGAATTAGTGTAAGACACACGTCTTATGAAATTGTTGTTGGACTTGTTTTAGATTTCTGCTAAACAAGGAACAAATGTTGAAAAAGTTCTTCAGAAGGTCATTGAGAAGATTCCACCGTAAGTCTGTATTTATTTATGAAACATTGTAAGGTTAATGCGGAAACTGTAAGTTGCATTTATAGAGTATTGGCAGTAGTTTTGAACTTAAAGTTCACCTGATTTAAAGTCAATACTTTTTAAAGAGATGTGGGAGAAATCTAATGTCTGAGCTGGTTAAGTCAGTTTCAAATTGCAAATCAGAAAAAAAGACACTTCAGATTTGAGATGCCTTTTAAAAAATTAATGTGTGAATATCAACAGAGAAGATATCTTTATACTTCAGAAGTGGGAGGAGAAACTTAATTCAGTCTGAAATGAAAGATGAGAGGTGAGCCACTAAAGGCGATACTTTTATGACTGTTTATATAGCTTTCATGAAACTCAGTGTTTGAGAATATGTGCAGCTGTTCATTTTGAACATTACATTGTTAAAATGATAAAGGTAATTGAAATCTGCTGTGTTTAGAGTTTAATATCCTGAACTCAACATTTAAAATATACTTTCATCTAAGAACTTGACAACACAGTTGCTAAATTACAGTTCAGTTTCAGTCAGCATATTGCTTTTCATTCTTTTTTCCTACTATTAGCTAAGAAACGTAGTCCTCATATTAGTTAATAATTTTAGTTAAAATAAACCACAAAGAAAATCCGAGATCAGGTGTCCATGAAAGATGGCAAAACTGAAATATCATTGGACTTTTTTGTTAAATTCTGGTGTTGGAATATAACTGTGGAATTTTTGTTGTCCCTCATAGTACAACATTTTAAACATTGGTTTCGCCTGTTGTGAAATGGGTATGTTGAATATGCGTTTGTTTTTGTTCTAGTTGTACTACTATTGTACGTGAGGGAAATAAAATACAAATATTTTCTACATAATACATCATAAAACACTGAAATGATGTCTGGTATGTGTTTACGGAAAATGACTCGGTATTTTTATCCATGTTAATTGAATATGGCCAACTTGGTGAGGCGGGTTTTAAACTGAAGTACTTGGAGGGTCAGGTACAAAGTGACGATGCTCATGTTATTGCAACCAACTGGAGAATAAGCCAGGCCAACCACAGCAGCAACAGATGTTCCTTAGCTGCCTCTCATGATGTGAGCCAGAAGACCAGCTACCTCAAGTGTATGTATGTACACCAGTGTACGCAGCCTGGGGAGCAAACAGGAGGAACAGGAGCTCCATGCACAGTCAGAAGACAAGGAAAGAGAGGAGGAGGAGTTGCACTGTATGTTAAGGAGAAACTTGAGTGCATAGAAGTCAACTACAGTGATTGTAGGAGCTCTATGGAATGCCTCTGAGTCAAGATCAGAGGGGTCATCTCCAAGGGCGATCTTACAGTAGGCATCTACCACCAACCTCCAAACCAAGATGGTAAGGCCAACAAAGCAATATTTGGTTCACTTAAGCAAGCTTCAGGTCAACAGAACTTGGTTCTTATGGGTGACTTCAACTACCCAGACGTTTGCTGGAAGAACCATACAGCAGCTCACATGTCATCCATCAAGTTCCTGGAATGCGCAGAGGACTGCTTCCTCATACAAATGTTAGATATGCCAACCAGGAATGAGGCACTGCTGGATTATCTGCTCACAAACCAAAAAAACCCTGCTTTGTAATACCTTGTTCAGCAATAGCCTTGGCTCCAGTGATCATAATATTATGGAGCTTGGGGTCCTGCCGAGCATGGTGAAGGTTAGTACTAAGAAAAAGGTTTTCGATTTCAGAAGATCAAACCTCAGCTCGCTCAGAGATCAGCTGGGAGGGATTCTGTGGGAAGCTTCCATGGAGGATAAAGGAGATAGTGAGTGCTGGGAGTTGCTTTCAAGAAGGCTTTCCTGGAAGCACAAAACAAGATCATCCCCTTTAAAGGTAAGGGAAGTAGGCGGAGCAAGAGATGCCCTTGGCTTAACTGTAAGCTTCTGAGTCTGCTCAAAACAAAAGGAGAAGTGTACCAGAGATGGAAAAGCAGAGAAATACCCAATGAGAACTACAAGGGCATTGCCAGGATGTACAGAGATGCAGTTAGAAAAGCAAAAGCTCAGCTCAAATTGAAATTGGGCAGAGATGTCAGAAACTGCAAAAAAGGGTTCTATTGTAAGCAACAAGCAGAAACAGAAGGAAAATATTGTCCTGGTGTTAAAAAGGAGAGATGAATTAGTCACCAACAGTGCTGAAAGAGCAGAGGTTTTCAAGACTTTCTTCACTTCTGATTTTACCAGCACTTTTAGCCTTGGGCAAAAAAATCCAGGTTGATGCAAACAGAAACCCACGGTCAGTGGAGGAAGAGTTGGTATGTGAACTGTTACAGGAAGTTGACCCCTACAAATCGATGCGCCCTGACATTATCCACCCAAGGGTGTTAAGGGAACTGGCTGACCTTGTTGTGAGGCCACTCTCCATAATCTTTGAGATGTCATAGAGATCAGGGGATGTCCCAGAAGACTGGAAGAAGGCTAATGTCAACCCCATCTACAGGAAGATCTTAATGGAAGATCCAAGAAACTATAGGCCCATCAGTCTTACTTCAGTCCCTGGGAAAGTTATGGATTGAATCCTCCTGGGGGCTGTCACAAGTCAAATGAAGCACGTGATTGGGAAAAGCCAGCATGGAGTCACCAAGGGCAAATCGTGCTTGACAAACCATCACCTTCTATGAGTAATGTGCTTGGTTGATGTGGAGCAAGTGGTGGACATTGTCTACCTGGATTTCTCTAAGGCTTTTGATATGGTTCCCCACAGCCTCACCCTATAGAAACTGGTGCTTTACGGTGTAGACAAGTGGTCTGTGTGGTGGGTGGGGAACTGGCTGACAGGCTGCACTCAGAGGGTGCTGGTAAATAGCTCCTTTTCAAACCAGCAACTGGTCACAGATAGGGTTCCCCAGGGACTGATATTGGGCCCAGTGCAGTTTAATGTCTTCATAAGTGATCTGGATGATGGGAAGTGGTGGATTCCCCAATATTGGACACATTTAAGATTCAGCTGGACAGGTTGGTGGGCCATCTTGTCTAGACCGTGCTTTTGCCAGGAAAGGTTAGACCAGATGATCCTCGAGATCCCTTCCAACCTGATATTCTATGATTTATGAAAGTTGTTGGTGCTTGCTTATTCAATATTGAATGAAAAACACACTGAGTAATATATTGTTTTAAATTTTTTGTGACAGACCCCAGTGTAGTACTGCTGATCCAATGAAAGCCTTAGTATTTGACTCCACCTTTGACCACTACCGAGGTGTCATAGCTAACATTGCACTCTTTGGTGGGGAAATTCAGAAGGGGCATAAAATTGTGTCTGCTCATACAAAGAAAAGATACGAAGTTAATGAAGTTGGAATTCTGACTCCGAATGAACAGCCAACGCATAACCTGTAAGTAAAAATGTCTTACAGTAAAGAGATCATAAATTGGTGTAAGATACAAACTCGGCATTTCTGTTTGATATTTGCTGGAGACATCCTTGAGTTTTTGTTCTTTTGCGGTGAGGTTTTTTATGATTATTATTTGTAATTTAATTCTCAATGTCAGTCTTTTTCATTTTGGCCATGCTGAGGCAGAAGCTTTTGCGGACTGCTTTTTGGGCACTGCAATGGGGAGGAAGATGTTCTATCATCTATAGTACGTGGAACATCTGGACAGCTAGTTATTTTAAGACTAGCCTTTGATATTCTTATTCAGCTGTCCTATTTATTTCTAGGAACTACCTTGTTTGTGAGTGGAAGGGAATGGGGCTTCATCTTAGTTATTGCTGCAGCATATTTTGAGGGTGGAAAACTTAAAATCCATGAATGCAACAGCTTCCAGAAACTGGCTCCTCATGGCAGCAGTGGGAAGAAAATCAGGTACTTAGAATTAGAAGAGAAGCTTTATCGATTTGCATCCAAATATGTGTTAATGACTTTCTTAGGAGATTCTCAGTGAGTCTGTGTGTGGTGGGTTGAACCCAGCCAGCAACTAGAGTGCCCAGCTAGCCACTTGGTCACTCCCTCAACCCCAGTGGGATGAGGGAGAGAATTGGGGAAAAAAAAAAAGTGAGGAAAGACTTGTGGGTCACGATAAAGACAGTTCAGTAACTGAAGAAAAAAGAAAAGAAATAAAAACAAGTGATGCAAAAGTAATCAGTTACTTGCCATCTCCCACAAGCAGATCAATGCCCTGCTAGTCTACAGTAATGGCCGCATTGGAAAGACAACACTCCTTGTTTTTCATTTCCAAGCATTACATTATATGGTATGGAATATCCCTTTTTTACTGTAATAGAAATAGAGCTACTTGAGACAACAGTTTGTCCCTTGAGACAAAATTCACAAATCACAGGACAAACAACTTAAATCTGGCTTATGGGCTTTTGGGGGGGGGTGATTTATTTGAATTTCTGAGCTAAGTGAAGTAGGAAAAATAGTAGAAATTATGATAATGCCAAGAAGCATGTCCATATAATGCCAATTTTATTTAGATATGCTGGACAGGTGGGCTACCTGATTGCTGGAATGAAAGAAGTAACAGAAGCCCAAATAGGAGACACACTGTTTTTGTATAAACAGCCAGTGGAGCCCTTGCCTGGCTTTAAGTCAGCGAAGCCAATGGTTTTTGCAGGTGAGGAGTAAATTGGTATAAAGTGGAATTACTTTTTCCCAGTAACAAGAGTAAGAGAGTGATTAGAGCTTTTGAAAGAATATACATGTATATTAAGAGTTGTGAAGATGAGAGTTTTAGCAAAGTTAAGCTAGAGGCATGTCATTTATATAGCTTTGTATAATTTTCCCTGTGACTTAACAGATAGGATTAATATTAGTTGCAAACTGTTTTTTATATGAATACGAAGACAAACGTATTTTTAGCCGTGATTATTGTTTCCGATGCCAGTAAACCCTTGATAGCTGGAAAAGAAGGGTTGAGGCTTTAAAAAAGTAAGTCAATTTCTGGCAATTCTTCATCTAGATCATCAGGTTTCCTTAATTACTGTGTTTTTTTTTTTCTTTTAAAAACTAGCAGCTGTTTCTTTTTCCTTAAACATGGTAAACTGCCAAAGCTAATACTCAGAACGATTCTTTAAAATATTTGACTTTTTAAGCTTCTGTAGTTCTGTTGAGCTGTTTTCACCATTTTCAGTAACTACTACAAATACTATGGAAGATAGTTTTACAAAGAAATAAATTCTGGAAATCTCTTTCTAGATGTGTTGTGAGGGAATGTGTAGAACTCACTTGAACTGTCTTATGGAGATTAGGTGGTCTGTCAGTGAATGTAGGAAAGTGTCATCCTGTAAATAATGGGTTTTGTATGCACACGTGTTGCTTCTTGGTGTAGAGCAATCAACATTTTCTCAATGTGATGATGTGAAAAGTGATACTGTAGAATCTATTTCAGGTAGTAATTATACAGACAGCTGCTTTTATTAATTTCAGAAAACACAGAAACATTTGCAACTTTGTTAGATGTGGCACTTTTTCGCTGTTCACTCTTTACCTTTGAAGGAACATCTCAGTGAAATTTGTCTGATTATTCAGTTATGATTAAGCTATATGTTTACACTGCAGTCCTGCAAAACAGTGGTTATACTCAATTGTGCATCTTCCACAACTGTGAAGGATGAGTACAGTATCCCTGCCATTATGGTTTGAATGTTTATTCCTGTTTTTATGAGGTAATCTAAAACTTTATTACATTTTAACTAATTTTGGGGGGGAGAAAAAAAAAAATTCTTATATTTTTTTTTCACATTTTAAAGTTGGAACAGAAAGTAAGCTATTTCTGATTTTATTACTGTGTTCACTGTAAGAGGCATGTTTGAAAGCTAAGTACTCACTAGATAAAGCTCTCTATCACACCAATTCCATCTAATATGTTTTGACAGGGATGTATCCTGTAGATCAAACAGAATATAATAATCTCAGAAGTGCTTTGGAAAGGCTGACATTGAATGACTCCAGTGTAACTGTTCATCGTGACAGTAGCCTTGCCTTAGGAGCTGGATGGAGGTGAGGCTTTTATACTGCTTTCACTTTTGGAATGGTTCGTAAATTGAGAATGCAAGTTTAAGTCAACTGAAGTATGAATTCAAATGAATTCAAGATTAGGAGGTTTAATTCAAATTAATGATAGGTAAAGCTCAAAAGCATTTGACTCTCTTATGTTCGGTATTTGCACAGAGTATGCAATTTGTTGTTGATGGTTTTTGTTGTCAAAGACTCACACTATTCAACTGTAGGATGATTTGGAGATTGTTTGCTGTGCTTGATACTGCCAGGCTAGCCATGTGAATGTGTGGGAAGGGGGGAAAAAAACCCCAAAACCGCTGTGAAATTCCAGGGGATATACAAATACTTTCACCTACAGTATATATTTTTCCCAGGTTGGGTTTCCTTGGTCTTTTACATATGGAAGTTTTTAATCAACGTTTGGAGCAAGAATATAACATGTCTGTTATTTTGACTGCACCTACCGTTCCATATAAAGCTATTCTTTCCTCGGCAAAGTTGATAAAGGTATGTTGCATTTATTACAGCTTTATGTAAATATCAGCTTAAAAGCCTCCTATAATAAACATCTACATGTCTCTTTTTTTTTTTTTTTGATGTAGACTGGTACTTTATGGTAAATGTTAGGGACACCAATATTTAATTTAAAACTTTTTTTAATGTTTTTTTTAAAGAATGTTAACTTTCCTTCCCCTATCCACTGCGAGCACTCTCTTTTTACAACTTATACCTGTCCTTGAACATGGCAATAAAGGACCTATTTCTTGCTGTATTGTTTTAAGTGCATACTGACTGGACTGAGTTTAAAGCAGGTGAAATAATCTTCCAGGTGTTATCAGTCAGAAAACATGAATGTTTTTAGGAATAGCTTGTAATGCTACTGTAGACTGGCAGGGACTGGTAAAGACAACTGAGTTTCTCATCACAGTGCAATAGGCATGTGCAAACTTCACTGAATTGGGTGCAGAAGAAAAAAATTGGGTGTTTGAGTTTGAGAGAGGTGGACTTACGAGCATCTGCTGAAAGGAGGCTGCAAATATGATGGCTTATTATTATCCAACAGGTACCTCTAAACACTACAGGAATATCTGTAAATTCCAAACAGCTTATATAAGAAACATTGCTGTACTTGCAAGGTGTAAGGCATAGACCCTTTTTCTCTACAGTTGTTTTGGTTTCTTCCTTAGGCAGTGTAGCAGCTATGAATGAAGTAGATGACACATTTTGTGCATAAGTGATTCAAGATTGCTGATGTGGGACACTGTTTTCAAACAGTGCTGAAAGTTGGGTGATTGTTCAAGAACACTGCCTTGTCAGTGGAAGTGATAGAATCACTTGCTTTGGTGTGTGTGGGAGGTTGATTGTACGTGATAAGAAGCATGACCTTCCTTTTATTTTTACTTCAGAAGGATAACTCTGGCCCTGTTGGGTTGTTGGACTACAAGAAATGCTTGAAAGCATTTGCACAGGAATCGAAAACTTTATTCCTAAGCCCACTTCAGCCTGCAAGGGAGCCTGAACCCAAAGTTCTATTTAGAAAAGAATGTCCTCATCACCAAGCTGCAGAATACTTGGCGTAGGTCTTTTGTTGAAGCTGTGCCTTATACCTTATAGGATCAGGATGGAGTAACAAGGAAGATGCTTGCTCTACAAGCAAGAGAGAGATGAAGATGGACAGAAAGGCTTTTTTATTTCTATGGATAACCCTAGGTTGTAGTCTTAGTTCTAAGCACATCTTCTATTTAAAATTCACTGGATAAAGTGCTTAAAAAACCCATTTTCCTAGTGAAAGTAATTCCTATAATATTTCTATATAATAATATTTAAAGATATGCTGATCAAGGACTTGTGGATGTGATCAGCATGTAAAGTATTGGTATAAAATTGGTTTACATAATTCACAAGTGTTTCCAAGCAATTGAAATATTTTTTAGCATTTTTTCAGTGCTGTTTTTGTCTCCTTTGCTATTCAGTCTTCTTATTTGCAAAATTACAGTATCTGTTTTATTTGTTTTCAGGAGTATGGTAAAGCAGAGATTACTATTATCAACCCTGCTCAGTTTCCTGATAAGTTTTCAGTATCTGAATATTTAGAGCCAACTGTTCTTGGTACTATTGTAACACCTCATGAGTATATTGGGAAAATAACTGCTCTGTGTCAGGTTGGTATATAGTTTGTTGTGTCATGTGCATTTTTAAGCTCTTCGTATCATACTGAAAGTGAAGATACTAGAAAGATACAGGATATTAGTACTTAAATAGTATCTTTCACAGTAATTATTAAAATACTTATTTCTTTCAAGAGTATTTAAACTTTTAACGTGTAAAATTACTTCAGAACTACAAAATCCTTATAGTGGAAGCTAATGATGAAGCTCAATGACAATAAAGTACCTAGTCAAGCATCCTGCACTAGACAAATTCATAGATACTTCTATTTTCCTGAAAGAATGGAATCTCCAGCAGGGGAATGAGATCTGTTGTTTTTAAGAAGTACGTTAATGGAAATACAACTTCTGTCAACACTTTACTGAGTCTTCATGTATGTTTTCAGTACTTCACTGGAGTACATTTATGATAGTGATGGTCAATCACATTTCCCCAAGTGTATTTGGAATACTTTTAACTAAAAATGTTTTAACTGCCATGCATATTGTCTTTATATAATTTCTTACAATATTTTCCTTAGCTTTTAACACTTCAAAATACATAATACAAAAGAGTACAGTACTTGTATGTTGGTATAGTGAAGTATAAGATCTATTAAAAAGAATTCCTAAAATAACTTCAATAACACCCTCCTGGTAGGAAATGAGTCTGCAAGTCTTACTGTGTAACACTCCAAGTTATGTAAAAATCTAATTTCAGTGAGATTTTATGGACAAATAATTATACATTTAAAAGGCAGCAGTAAGCAGAAGCTGGTAAGGATTTCAGAAATTCAGCTTTTAGAGAGGATAGACTTGAGTCATTTGTCGAAAGTTACTTTGGGGCTTGAAGCACAGGAGTTCTCTTCTGTAACTGGATAGCTGTTCATTTAAATTTGCTTTGTATTTACTTGTAGAAAACTTCTGTCAAGGGGAACTGAAACAATTTTTATTTGTCTAGGATCGTAGGGCAGTCCAGAAGGATATGTTGTACATTGATGAACACAGGGTTTTGCTAAAATACCTCTTTCCACTGAATGAAATTGTGGTGGATTTTTATGATAATCTCAAGTCTCTGTCTTCTGGTTATGCAAGGTAATTACCTCCTTTGTATCCCCTTCCCCCTACCCTGTACCCTGAGGAGGGGAACAGGAAAAGATCTGAGGGGAAGATACAGAAGGGCACAAGTGAAGAATTTTCATTCATGATGGTGATGCAAATTGAGTCTTACTCCACCTTTAATGAATTAGACTTACTGTGAAAATTGATGGCAATACATCTGAAAAACACTAAAAGTGCATTGTTATTTAATAACCATTTTCTTTGGTGATGCGTGTATTTTTCAAGTGTGACATAAAAAGTGGCATTCGCTCGTCTAGGTGGTTTCTCCTTGTCTGAAGTGACAATGGGCATTTTCTATTGAAGGAATCACTGAAAATTTACTTCTTACTGTATTGTTTCTTGATGGAAAAGGGAGAATAACCAGATACTGATTCTTTAAAGCTAGTAAAAACAATCAACAAACTATATTTAAAGCAAACAACGCTTTACTTACATGCTTTATTATTGGAATAAAGTAAATCATCAGTATTTTGGGACAAAATGTTCTGCTGTGGGTGGATTCTATAAATTCAGAGGCTAGAACAATGCTCAGCTGTTTGTGAAGAGCCTTTCTGAGTTTAATGGAAGGGAAAATGTTGCATGGTGGATGGGCTTATGCCACAGGAGACTCAGTAGCTCTTACAAACCTAGATGTATAGATGATAGCAGGATGTATTATATTTTTCACAGGAACTGGTATACATTATTAATTTTATAAGCATAAAAATGAATTTTACTGAAGGACTGAATTCGGTTTGTGTATTCTTAAAAATGCCTTATAAAGGTATGGTAAGGTGTCTTCTGCCTCGGTTTGTATAAATTTGATGTAGAAGCATAAGCAAAAGTGGGGAGACAAGAACAGGTAGAAAAAATGGGGATGGAGATTTTGAATCTTCTCTCAGGATCTAACTCTCCAACTAGATAAAGACCATTCTGTTAATCAAGAAGCTATCTCATTAGCAGAATTATGGTGGGCTTCCTTTGATTCAGGTGTGATTGTTAACAATGTTGCATTGTCTTTTTTTATTTATTTTTATTTCCTAATTGACTCCCTAATGTTACTTGTGTATTTAATGCTCTCAATAGTCATACTTCTGTTATATGAATCTATTCACACAATTATGGTTTACTAAAGCCAATTAAGATAGAAGTACTTTCACATATTCTCAAAGGAATTTTTTCTTCATTCAGATATTTTAGATCTGACCAGATTAGTGGAGTGGGCATTCTCCACATTTTTAATTACATACTAGATACATATATAGGTAGATAGATATAAAATACATATATCTCTCCATTTTAAGAATTTTTGCAAACTGACAGACAGCAAGGCCCATACGTACCAAAGGAGAAATATGGTTTGGAAATGAAGAGGAAAACTTGGTTGTCAGAGGGAATGATAATAGGGGTCATATAAGAAGTCTGTCAAATGAGAGGATGAAAAGAAAACTACCCAGTGTTAGTGTTTGATTTGTGTGACATCAAGGGTGTTGACTGTTCAAAAGCTGTGTTGAAAGGTTCTGTTGCCTGGAGCTTTAAGGAACTTCCAGCTGATAGAAAGGAAGTGCTTGAATAAACTCTTGGAGAGATTGCATTAGGAATGTAGATTTTTTTTGATTGATTTACCTTGCACAGCAGCTGGAAGACAGGATGATGTCGTCTTCTGCCTTGGAGATGAGATTTATCTGCAGTAAATTTCTAGTCCAGTCTTGCATAAGGGAGACGTACTGAGAGACTATTAAAAATTGTTCCTATTTTAATAAAATGTTTTGAGTGTTTTATTAAGCAATGTGTCTAAAACTTAAAATTTATGGAACAAAGAATGCAGAATACATTTTTTACAAAATCATCACTAATTTTTAAACTCCTTTTGTTTAGTTTTGATTATGAAGATGCAGGATACCAGGCAGCAGACCTTTCCAAAATGGATATTCTTCTAAATGGAAATCCAGTTGAAGAACTGGCAACAATCATACACAAGTAGGTTGACTGGATTCTCTATTCCAAAGACATAAGACTTCCTATTAATATACAGTGGAAATATACATATGTTTCACTGATACATGAGAAATATGTATGAAAAGAGCATTGAGGATTTTACCACATTTGGAGATTATCTGAAAAGAAGAGGCATTTAGCTGCTAGATGCATTTTTGTGGTAACGTAGGGCAGGGAGGAGAAGGAAATGAAAAATGCTCATTTTTTAAAGAGCTGGAAAAATTTAAAAACAGACCAGTCTAGGAGATGTCAGATGAATTGTTTATGGCACTTAATATTTACTACTGAAAAAGGAATTGATTTTATGCTCCCAGTAATTCCTGTTCTGTAGAAGTTTATTGTTATCTTGTCTCCAGCCAGAGTACCGGGAGAAAGTAAATATTTACTGGATGTAATTACATTACCTCAGAAATGTTTTGCTAAAATGATTCAGCTTCCATAAGTTCCTCAGGACTCGGCACCATGCAGCCACTTGCTCACTCCTCCTCCCTCCCAGTGGAACCGTGAGGAGAATTGGAACAAAAAAGTAAAACTTGTGGGTTGAGATAAGAATGGTTTAATAACTGAAATAAAATATATTAACAATAATTTAATAATAATTGTAATGAAAAGGAATATAGTAAAAAGAAGAGAGAAATAAAACCCAAGAAAAGACAAGTGACACACCATCTGCTGACCAATGCCCCAGCAGCGATCTGCCCCCCAGTTTGCATACTGAGCATGATGTTCTGTGGTATAGAATAACACTTTGCCTGATTTGGGTCAGCTGTCCTGGCCATGGTGCCTCCCAGCTTTTTGTGTACTCCAAGTCTACTGGCTGGTGGGGCGCTGTGAGTAGCTGAAAAGCTCTTGACCTAGCGCTAAGCACTGCTCAGCGATAATTAAAACATCCCTGTATTATCAACGCTGTTGGCACACTAAATCCAAAACACAGCAGTGTGCCAGCTACTAGGAATAAAACTATACCCCAACCGAAACCAAGACTATTTTCAGCTGTATGTTGCTAAAAAATATTCAATAAATATGGGTGTTTTTAGAGAGAAGAGATCCATTTGTTTCCAATGTCTCATGAAAGTATCTGTTTAGCAGCTTCTTTAGTCCTTTTGTCATTTTCTCTTTCCAAATCTGAAGCATATGCAGATGCTGAATATAGTTGGATAATTTTTATTAGCAGATATCAAGAGTACATTATTTTTGGTTTTGTTATATAAAACCATGTATTTTAAAGATACTTCTGTAATATGTAGATCTTCTGACCTTTCGGGCCTACAATCAGTGAAAATCCTCCTTGACCACCTAGTTTTAAAATTGCATTTGAAGCTGTGACAGTATTCAAAATGGCTTCAGTGTGATCAGAGTGTTTGTTATAAATATTTTAAATTTATTTGAAGACTTTCCGTTAATAAAATCTTAACACCTGTTTGTATGAAACAGGTGACATACAGAGACCACTCATTAGATGTAAAAATATGGTCTGATCAGCTTATCTTCTGAGTTAAAAAGATGAAAACCTCTACTAAAATCCTCTTATCAAAGAGTTTGGTGTATGCATGTATTTTAGGGGCTGTATTACTCTTTCTGAAAACACTGGTGACTTTCTTTTTCAGTGATAAGGCATATGCTACTGGTAAATTCCTGTGTCAACGTTTGAAAGATTCTATACCTAGACAGTTGTTTGAAATAGCCATCCAGGCTGCTATTGGCAAGAAAATCATTGCAAGAGAAACGTAAGTGAAGCCCTTCTGTTTCTCTTCTTTTTATTTTAAGATACTTAAAATACAGACTTTCAATGTTTTTCCTAGTTTTATACATTACAGTACCTTGATTTTACTGTATTTTTTCTTGTATATGCTACTGGACCTCTTAGAAAAAAATAATACATTTGAGCTGTGACAATACCAAAGAACTCTGTATAAATTTAATTGAAAAAAAAAAAATAGCTTCTGGTCAGCATTGCACTTAGTGAGTAAAGTATAACTTGCAACACCCACGTGTCCATTTCCTCTTTGGCAGTGGAAAAAGTTTCTTACTACTGAAAAAATTTAGCTAGTTGTGGAATGGTTTAATCTGTGGGACAGTCAGGAAAAAAAACAACTGTGCTGTTCCAAAGGAAGTACATTGCAAACTGAGCAGTCATTTCTTAGCAGCACTCACTTCCTTTTGAGCAAACTGATTCCTTGATGTTGTGTTTCTTGTCACATTTTTGCTGTTGTTGTTTAAATAGCATTTAAATTGTAGTAAAATAATTAAAAGTAGGGATCCAAACAGAGGTGCTTTCAGAATTTGTATGTACATATCTATATATGTTCATATATAATACTGTGAATCATAGCAGAAATCCTAGATAAAAAGGTAAGATTGTAATTTTGATGTACGTATTACATACCCGAAGGGATATTTCTAGTATTGAGAAATGTGAATTAAGTCTTCTGTTTAGAACTTCATCTTCTGTACACAAAATATGAAAATGTCGTGATTCCAGTGCCTCTTACAAAACTAGTAGAAAACCAAGGCTTAGCATTTTGACAGCTTGGTATTTAGCTTCATGTACAGATGTTCTAATGTGTTAATGTATACATGTCATTTTATTTTGCAGGCTGAAAGCTTACAGAAAAAATGTTGTGGCAAAATGTGTAGGTATTTTTTTTTTATTTTTTTATGATGTATGTAACCCTAAGAGTCCTGCTAACATGATAGGCCTGCCTTCTTCCTAAAAACCCAGCAATGACACATTCTGCCTGTGCTCCTAAGTGTCAGTGGAATATTAACAGATACTTTTAAGCTTTTATTTTGAAATTCAACTCATGTAACATGTAACCTCTGGTTATAGTTTGCAGTAAGAGTGAATCAGAAAAGAGTGATGGCTTTTTTCAAAATTACAGAGTGAATATCAGTGTGTGCGTGTTCACACCTGTCTCCATTTTCTAACAGCTGTACACATACAGTAAATGTATGTGTGTGTAAACACACACATGTGTAACCTCACATGTGTTTTTCAGGCTACTTAAGAAACAATAAGTGTGCTTCTTCAGACTTTTACTTGGGTTTCCAGTGATAAGGCCTTATGCAATAGTTGACTATCAACAAGACTTGACAAAGCTGTAAGAAAAATATGATGCCTCTTACTTACCTTGTATTTAGCTCTCTGAAGCAAACATGTTGGAAAAAATGAAACAAATGTCCTTTTCTCACAGCTATTATAGAATTCTTCTGCTAGGCCCGTATGTAGGATGGTGTTTGTTCAACATTGTGTAACGGTTCAGTTACCTTACCTAGACATAAGAACCTAGTAAAGTGCTAGTAAAGATGCCACGGTGTACCTGAGCTGGCATCTTGCTGCTGTTCCGGTGGGATTTCTGACTGTTTTTAAGCCCTTGAGATTAGTGGTGCTGAAATGTAGTGTAGTTACATTTAAGCTTACTAAAATATTTTTCCTTTCCATAGTATGGTGGAGATATAACAAGAAGAATGAAGCTTTTAAAGAGACAGGCAGAAGGGAAGAAATTGATGAGAAAAATCGGCAATGTGGAAGTACCAAGAGATGCCTTTATACGTGTTTTAAAGAGACAAACTGACAAATAAACATCAGTGACATGGAGCCGATCATTCTCTCAACTTTTTGTAGGCAGTAGCATAATGAGCTAATGTATAATTTATCACTGTGCGATGGAACATATTTGACTTTAAATGGTGTACATATATATGCAGGAACATAAACTGAAAGGACTATGTACTTAAAATGTACAGATACTTATACATTATTATGAAGTTAAAGTTATTTAACTTGACTTGACTGAATCTAAAGGTTTTCATTCTATTGGTTTTCATTGTATTTCATTGTTTTCATACTTTTAACAATTAAAGTTTAATTATGTTTTATTTTTGCATTGCAAGTCTTTGTACAAGAGAACAGGAACAATGTGTCAAAATGTTTATAAACATAATTAAAATGTAGGTGTAAACTGTTTTTTAAACAAAAGTTTGAACTGCTGCCACAAAAATACCAAGCTACTTCCTGTTTTACTTTTTAAAGTTGCTGTTGACAGGAAATCACGAGGCTGGGAAATCACATCAGCAAAAACTAATGACTTTTTTTAATGTCCCATGCTATTTATTTTAAACTTGTTAAAGTTTAAAATAGCTATGCTGATCTCTAAAGAAAGGGTAAGTTTTAATATATTAAAATACAAGATATGTAACTGTTCCACCAGTAAGACCAATTCAGGCCTAATTCCTTTGGCACGAAGGTTTGGTTAGAACGTATCTTGGTGTAGTTGAAGTTTTACTTACATTGTTCACATATTAATGTTTGTCAATGAGTTCTTTCCTGAAAGCTGCAGTTAAGTATGCTTAGTACAAACTATTGCTTCTGGAAGTGTAAACAAAGCAATCAAACACAAGTTAGTGACTGTGCTCTATATACTGCATTTACAAGTGCATGCCCACCTCCACAAGCTTTTAAGCTTTTTTTATTTTTTAAATCTTCAGGGACTAATTTGGGTCTTCACAGATCTTCATTTCTTGTTACTAAACATATTTTAGAGAACAAATCACTAGTAATACTAAGTAATCACCAGGAAAGACTGCTCTTAAATTTAGGCTTTTAACTTTGTGGAGTGATGAATAAAAACTAGCTTATTTCAACCCAAGTGCAAGGATGAATTGGGAAAATCCTTGGAGCAATGGAATTGAACTGGACACTACTGATCCTGAAAAAAGGAACAATGCTGTAGATAAAGGTTCTCTATCATTAACATAATTATTATTCCTGCCCTAAAAAAGTCTAGCAAGAATCATCTTAAAGGATAGCATTTACAAAAGTACAGATACAGTAATATGTGCTAAGAGCAAAGAAAAATATGGAGTTGTAAGGAAGAGGGAACTTTTTATAAGTAGGAGGACATTAAAAGCTATGGCTTTCCACTCATGCTTGAACCTAAATTCTATTGTTTCCTCAACAGAATTCCCACTTTTGCCACAAGATGGATCAAGATCATTAAGATAAAAACATGCTTGTCTTCCTTTAATAGTAACCTATTTTTCATCTCACACTTACATACTACAAGTGTTTATAAAATAAAGTCTTTACTTATCTATAAAAACTAAGAATGGAAAGCCTAGCACTGTACTTTGTGGGTCATATTCTACATGTAACAACATTCTCTTAAAGTACAGTCTTTTAAACTTCTCCCCCAATGTTGCATTATGCTTTAAAAATACAAGCGTAGAAGTTGAGTCTTAAACCTGAAAGCCTGTTCTGAATCTGTGCTTGTTCAATCTGCTGTCAAGAACTGAAACACTAGGCCTGGTTTCCTACACCACTGTGGACACGCTCTTCCACCCTTCGGTCATTTCAAAGAATCATAGAACAGTCAAGGTTTGAAGGGACCTGGAAAGATAATCTGGCCCAACCCCTTGTGGGAAAGGTGAGCCTAAATGAGATTACCTAGCACCCTGTCCAATCGCATCTTGAAAAACCTCTAGCACTGAGGACTCTACCCCAGCCCTGGGGAGGTAAGGTGGTTTGTAAGAAAGGCTGCCTGCCTCTGACCCAGGTGAAAAGTTAAAACTGTTGAAGTTATGCTTTGTTGCGCTTATCTCCCAGTGAGTGGGTTTCCCCCCCTTCACTCCCCACCCAGTGCAAAAAAAAAGTAAATCAATAAACTGTTAACTGGAAGAAGGCACAAAATTCCTAACCTCTCCCTGAAACCCCAAAGTATTTGTTCATGTCAGAATTTATATTGAAAACAAAACAATTTTGAAGTTACATATTTTCATCTGAGTTTTACTTATATTCAAAGTAGGAAATAACATTCCTTGTAACAGCTCAATGTTTATGACGATACAATGAGAGGTAACTATTGCAGTGATTAACAGTTGACTTTAAATGACCACGGATGAAACTTGCAGACATTCCTGTAAATTAACCTATTTTCAGGCATTTATTAGTAACATCAATGGTACAATTAAACAGGTACCTTGAGAAAGGAACATTTAGATTTTTCCTTATGTATAAAGCTCAATTACCAAAAATATAAAAGTCCTAAAGTAATTTGAAATACATGAGAGGAAAAAGTGCTATGGCAGAAGTCTAATATTTTTATCTGTGGAATAAGTTAACTTTTAAGAATTTGGTGCATTTGTAGGCACTGGTTTTGTATTTTTATTTGCCTGAATTGTACAGCAGGACTTGAGATGCCCAAAAACTGTTTGAGATAAATTTAAGGCAACCAAGTGCAAAAGCTCAGTGTACATTAGATATATGTAAACAGAACATTTTATAGTAGAAATTGTACAACTATTACAAGTCCATAGTATCGACAAAGGCCAAAACCATTCTGCCTAGAGACACAAATTCAAAATGTAGTTATACTAATCAAGCCAAAAACTACAAATTCATGGAAATAAAATATTTTAACAGAAGGCAGATGCATTACATTGCTGTGCTAGAATAAGCGCTCTGCTTTTTCCCCCCTACATAACATGCAGTATCCCTCAAGTTTGTTCTGTTCAATTTAGTTATGTACCAGCCAACAACAGAGCTCCAAATGTTAAAGCAAAATGCACAACACAGCAAACACATGGAATGTGAATGTACAGATATTGGACCTTTTATAAAATACAGTACCTAGGATTCCCCATTTTAAACAGTTTTCAACATATTGCATAGCAGTGAACTCATCTGCTACCTAAAACTGTTGCTGTTGACCCACATGGAGTTCCTCTTCAATTCTTCTTTCAATTTTCTTTCATACTGTACAGTGGGTCCACAAGCTTATTGTGCACATGCATTAAACCTTGGGGGGAAAGCAACAATGCCAGCTTTACATTAGTCATACTTTTTCAACATGTCTTTCTATCCACATTTTTATTGGGAGTTTGCTTCAAAAGTATACATTTTAAGTAGTTCACTGGAGAGAGTAACTGGCTAAAGTAGTTTAATATCAGAAGATAGAGACAGCACATATATTCCTGTATCACTTGAATACTACTAAGAACTTCAGTATAAAGTGAGCAGGGATGAGACAGTTCTCTGATAATAGATCCATCAAAAAGTAGATCTGGAATGCTTCCAAACGAATTGAATGCACGAGATCCACCCATCTCCTTTGTGTTAAAAACTGCGTAACAGCAACATAACATTCCCTTGTACCACAATTTGTCATAAAAGTCAAATGTACACATACTGATACTTTTACAACTTGAATTGCAATGTTCTAGCATTGTGGTATTACTGTTTTTGTAATTAATAGTGTACTTGAGATCCTAGACAGGAAAAACAAAGTATCCAGACTGTTAATGCAGATTCAGAACTTAAGTAGTTGAACCGTTTTCTATTCTAGCATATGACCAAAAAGAACCCAGCAAGTCATCCATAGCTGTGGTTGGAGTATTTTTTTTTTTCCTATTCATATATGTTTAATTTTGGAAAGTGCTGAAGAGCAGAGCAATAAAAAAGATGCTTTTTTGTAACAACTCAGTAAAAACATTACCTACAGCTAGGTAGGTATGACATTCAGTCACTGGTGTGTTTTTAACCTTATTTCACCTTAAAGACTAGTAACAGTAACTTATCAGCGTTCAAAATCTGCAAAGTAAAAGTCCATTTTAGCACCAAACTAAAGATTAACTTCTAAAATCGCAAATTTAAGTAATATACAACTTTAAAAGTAGAGAAATTTTTTTAAAAAACCATGAAAGAAGTCTGACAATAGCACACATTTTAATGATTATATATGGCAAAGAATATTAAAATGCCTTTGCTACATGATGCATCTGGTGGCAAACTTAGTGTCACTGCAGCAGCATGAAATTTGAATAACTATACAATCTGAGGTCATTACTGTAGGTGACCACAGCAAAAGTCATTCTACGCAGCATCTATTTCTAACTGGTGATTAATCTAAAATACAGATGTTTATTTCCTTCTCCACTTAGTGACACCTTTAATCATACTAAACAGCCAACGCACCTGTAACTGACTTGAAAACCCAGCACATTTTGCCTCTAGAGGTAATGACTTAGTTTCAGATATTTGTGAAAAAAACCCAACCAACCAAACAAACCTTAAGCAACTATGAAGAAAATAGTTTCTTCAATTTCATGAAGGCTAACTACTGGGTTGATGTACATGGGAAAGATTAAGTCTAACATTTTTCAGGAGTTTAACAGTAAGTGAAAAAAAATATACATTTGATACTCTTTCAGTATAAAGGGCTTTTGTAACATCTGCGTACGCCACTCAAGCTAGACCCAAGTTTTGAACTTTAAAGCATTTTACTTCCTACCAGTGTTTTCCTCTTCTAAAAAAGGGGAAATGAAAAGGTGATAATTACCCACTTCCTTGAGGCATGAAAAATGCTTACAAAGTATTGCCTCTGCCATATTTAATGAAGGATATTTAAATCCTGTTATTGAAATTGTTTCAGAAAAAAACAGTTAGAAACAAAAGGGATTTTTAAAGGTACACACCAGAGTCCTTACTTGGTAGGTGCAAAACCAATTATTTCAAAGGAAAGGCTCACTGTACAGTCAAATATGCTTTGAATAAATAGATTTCTGCATGCAGTTTTAAGAGCATGTACAAGTATGGAAAAAAACTACCATGAATTGACTTATCTGCAGACTAAGCAGTAAATTCAAAATTCATTTTCTGCTTCAATCTGCAAGAAAGTTACCTTCCCCAATAAGAACATTTAAGTACACTTGGTTATTTTAGCTTCTCATAGATTTTCAGAAAGTTGGAAAAAAGTGAAGGGGAGTAAGAGTTATTCTAGTTACCAGTTAGTGTGGTACCTGGTTATCAAAAAAAATTGATGTTTCATACAGGACCTTGAGATTTTTTGAAAGGTGAAAAATCTCAGTAAATAGCTACCATAATTAGCAGCATTAAGAACCACCTAGCTTCCTAAGAAGCCTAACCTTGAAGATCAAGATTCAGAAATAATTCCAAATTTGACCCACATTGATTTCTCTTCCCTCTTAAAAGGGGAAAATCTCACTGATTTGAGAGTAGGTAAAATTAAGCAAGTTTAAAGTAAACAATCTTTAAGAATTCTATTGCTCTGTATTATTGGGTAATTAGTGTGACACAATAGCACACATGCATATACTGTAGCCCTTGATGTTTTTAAAGCAATGTTCAGTGTCACTAATACCTAGTAATTCTACACTGGGTTTATACCTTCCCCAAGCAAAGCTTTTGTATATACGAAATACAGGATAATGTTTAAAGTTTACCCAAGCAGTTAAAGAAGTTTGTCTTTGAAAACAACAGTAAGTACTATCTAGCAGTGTGATACAGGTAAAGACTAACGCACCCTAACCCCTCAATACATAGCACAGAACAGCAAACTGAAAAAATCCAAAATTAACAAATTGGTCACAAATGGAGTCAGGATAAAGATCATATTATTGCCAGAACTGCAATCTAATACATACATGGATACTAGCAATATAATGCTCTAATAACTTCATAAATTACAACCTTGATCTCAGATGCCTCAGCTACTATAGGTATCCATGCTAGTGACAAAGATGATTGATTTACACAATTGCATTTCCTGTGCTAGTATAGTTAAGAGAAAACTACTACTCAGCTTCTACAGTCTCAGCGAAACAGAATTTGTATCTAGGAAGTCTCAACTGCTATCAAAAATGCCAACTTAAAGTTTGCCTCACTATACTTACTACATATATGAAAAGCAGAGAAAAATGGTGCAATGTATTCAAAGTCAGTATAAATTGTTATACTAATTGCACTGTACGAAAAATGTCCTCAGGTGGCTTCAAAATCTGTATCACACATTTCAGGCTTACTAGACAGCACATAGCAAAAGCAGCATGAAAAGATATCAGGTTTAAGAAATGTATCAAGTTTTCCTTAAGTGAAACTTTCCAGTATATTTAAGATGAGCATTCTGGAACACCAGACTGCTGCTGTTTTACATACAGTTGAAGACTACTCAACTATCTTTTCAAACTGAAAGCAAAGGAAATATTTTTCCAAAGTAGATCTGTCAGTGATGTAAGGAACACGAGTTATGCCCCTTAGCACTTCTCCATTCACAAAAATTAAGTTAACATTTAGTATTCTGAATATATAACATAATACATTAGCTACTGTAAACTGCTGGCTCAGACTTAAATCAATATAATTTAAAATTTGGGGTTTTTACGTACATGTAACCTCTGATTTAGTGCTCACCTTTAAAGTACTTCACAGTTTTAACTCTTAGTTCTAAAGTAGCATCTTCATCACACACAAAGATAGTACGAGGGTGTTGCTGGAAAGCAGAAACTGTCCACATATGATTGACCCCTTCTTCAATTGCTTTGTACAATGCAAAAGCCTTATGTGCACCTGTTATAAGAATCATCACCTGCAAAACAAAGGTCTCTTTACTTTAAATTCCAGTATCAATACCAAGTAGTATTGAAAATAGACACATGCAATTAGAACTAAATGAGTTCTTACTTCTCTAGCATCCATCACTGTACCCACACCAACTGTTAGTGCCATAGTTGGTACTTTAGATAAGTCTCCATCAAAGTATTTAGCATTTGCCAAAATGGTGTCCATTGCTAAAGTCTTTAATCTTGTTCTTGAAGACAAACTTGATCCGGGTTCATTGAATGCAATGTGGCCATCTGGACCAATGCCTTTTCAAAGTTAAAAAAAAGTAAATCATTCCAGACCTGAGAGTCAACAAATATCCTCCAACATTGTAAACGAATAAAAAGTTATAGGACTCATTCTTTCCTTTTGGTTACCCATTTTCAATAAAAATCATTCAAAACTTACTTGAAACTACATGATTGCAAACTTGGGACACCAACCATTCTGTTTTGGTATTCATACTGAATCTTTCTTAGTCACAGACCTTTCTTACACCATAACTGAAAAAACTGTGTTTAGCAAAGCTGTGAAAATAGTGACTAAAGAGTCAGTGTTTTTGTTTGAATCATAACTAACCACAGAGCATTTCCTCATACCTCCAACAAACAGGTCAATCCCCCCTGCTTCTTCAATTTTCTTTTCAAATGCATCACATTCCGCCTGTAAATCTGGAGCATTCCCATCAAGAATATGAGCATTATTTGGATCTATGTCAATATGTTTGAAGAAGTTATTCCACATATAGGAATGATAGCTCTCTGGATGATCTCTGGGAAGCCCTGAAATAATTAAGAGTGAAATTAACATGTTACAAGATTTAACCAAACAGCCTTAAGTCTAGTCTATGTGGAACCAATATAGAGCACATCCAAGCCTGATAAAGCAGTATTTGAAATCAGATTGAGAAGAAAGATTTCCTGTAGGCATGCACAAGGTAATCTGTTCATGTTCCCTCTGTATACACCTTATCACAAAGAATGTAAAGTCTTAAAAAAAAAAGGGTCACAATATTAAGTGCCAACATACTTTCTACAGAGGTATTGTCAAGCACTGAATTTAGCCCAGGATCCACCTGTTTATTATTTGCATTTTTGTGGATAAGGAATAGAGAAAAATGCTTAAAATGACCCTATGGTCAAAAAATCTAACACACAAACATACTAGGCTGACCCTGTGCTTTGACAAAGTATTTAACAGTTTTAATAACGAAAAAAAGAAAAACAGTATAGAGTGTTCTCAAATAATTAGCACATCTTACCTACATATTCATCCATGTTGAAAGTCTTTACATATTTGAAAGAGAGATCTCCATTCTTATGATATTCTATCAGCTTTTTGTAGCATCCCAAAGGTGTACTACCTGTTAAATAAAATTTTTCTACTGTTCTATGTATCCGTACAATAGTTTTAATTTAAATCTCTTCATAGTCAAATTTGGCTACAATGCTTTTCAAGATAAAAGAAATTTGGTATTTCTCATTTCATATTTCTCAGCTTCTCAAGCTTTATCACAACTTTTTACACAAATCAAATCCATATTTAAGAAGAAATATGTTGGAGTATTACCAAAAATATGTGTTCTTTTAAACACAGTATCTGTTAGCAATGATACAAACACAGTTTTAGGTTTAGTAATTTACATAGACTTTGAATAAAACTTGCCTGTTGGTAGACCAAGCGTGAAATATCTTCCTTGACTTGGCTTGAATTGGATAATACGATTACAGATGTATTTGGCTGCCCATTCACTAGCCTGATCATAATCTTCAAGAATTACTAGCCTCATTATGGCAGTGAGGAACTTGTATGGTATGATAAAATAAACTTACACCTGGGGAAAATGTGAAAGTTTTAAAAATAAGCACCATATGAATATTTGCAACACTCTGATTACAGAAGAGAAAAAAAGGACCTTTTGAACGGATAACATAATGCTAAACAAAGGATATGTTACTTGCATAAGTATATTGCACTCTTGCAGTCCTAGATCAAACTGGACCATTGGACAATCAAAAGAAAAGCTACAGAATTCAAGTGATAGATTACAGTCACGATATTTATTAAAATTCAAATACTAATTTAAAGTAACTTGTAGGACAAAGTTAAAACAAAATGAGAACAAGCCATTTTGAATTTCAATCTTTTAATGAGTTGTTAACTGTTAGAAAAGAGGAAATACTCTGCTTGAAATAAAAGTAAACAAATAAGTAAACAAACACTGAGATTAACTCCTGTTTCTTATGATCAGCTGAATGCCTAAAATTTCAAAAACAAGGCCCCAAATAATTCCATACTTTTATATTCAAAATACGTAATTGGAAGTAAACAATTAAAACTCCGTCCACTGTCATTCTAGCTGCATAACAATGTTTCAGTAAGCTTATTAGTTAAAAAAAAAAGGTAAAAGTATGAGAGGTATTTGAAATCTTTACAATTCCCAGAAAATAGCACCTATGAGGTCACGTTTTTTCTTTTCAGCATAATTTTAAACAGAAGTCACTCAGTCATTCTTTATCAGCTTTAATTTCAAGAATACATCAACTATTAAGATGTGTATCTAGAAAATAAGCTTGGCTGTTAAAAGTACACGACCATTTCCTACATTTAAGTGAAACTCATTTGTCCATGAACTTCTGCTTAACAGAGCCAGCTAATTATTAGAAACACTGAGGCCCTTTAGCCAGGTTGCAATGCGTTCCTCTTCTCCTGGAAGGTCCGAGAGTGTGTGGCACAAGCCAGAAAGCACCATCGCCGTCAGAAGCCCCAGGCCAACTGTGTGCCAGGCCACCACTAGCACAGCCTGCTTTTAGCTGACCCAAACGGAGAGGCCAGTTTTAGAAAAAAAAAAAAAAAAAAAAAAAAAAAACAAAAAAAAACCAAACCCACAACCGAATTAATCTACAGCAATGCACAACTGGGCAACATCTGTTCGTCCCACTAAACCAGGAAGGAAGCAAACACCACTTTGTGCTGACTGGGCTGCTCCCTTCCCCCCTGGAGAGCAGAGCCGTGGCAAGTCAAGCTCACCTTTGCAGTGGAAACGCTGTTCCACAGGCACCGAAAAAACACTCACGCTTCCTCGAGGAGGAAAGAAAAAAACAGGGCACGGAGAGAGAGATCCCGCGGCTCTGGGGCGGCCTCATAAAGCTTTAACGATTTTACCCGGGGAACGTGGTGCTGCCCTCCGGGAGGAGCGACCCGCGAGCGGCACCAGGACGATGGCGGGTTTCCGAGGGGCTGGCGAAGCTACGCTGGTAGAGGAAAAAACCGTCGGCCGGGCCGGGCCGGGCCGGGCCGGGCCGGGCCGGGCCGCCCAGCGCAACGCAGCCCCCACCCCGCGGCCTGCCCCCACCCGCAGGGCCCTACTCACCCCCGGGAGGCCCCGCAGCGGTCACAGCCGGCACCGGGAGCGAGGGACGGAGGGAGGCGGGAGGCCAGGCACCGGGCACCGCCGCCCGCCCCAGCCGCGCCTGCCCCTCCACCAACACCAAAACCACGCCCGCAACCCGGAAACGGCGGGAGGACCACCGGAAAGAGCGTCATGGGTGGGCGGTGCCGCGCATGCGCGGGGCCTGCGGCCTCGCCTGTGTTGGGTGTTTGGAGCGGAGGGAGCTGTGCCCTGGGGAGGTCGGGGAATGTTTTACTGGTACGGTGTCGCCCATCGCAGGCCCTTGGCACCTGGGCCTTTTCTTGGAGCCCCTGCTCTGGGGGAAGCAGGTGGCGCGCTGAGATCTTAACGAGAAAAGCTCTCCTTTAACTTAAATATTTACTAGAAACAGCTGCAAAAGAAGCTGGTCGTAGTTACTGCAAAATCTACTGGTAAAATGACAGCTTCTTTATTTTCTTGCTCTGGAAGAGTCAAGTGATTTTGTGGTAAAGTATAATCTAAACAGCTGTGGTGCCATAGAGTGTGCTGGTTGGGAAAGGGTTAATAGCCCTGCTGGGTGCTGCTTTGGAAATTAGTAGGGAAACTGAGTGAGGGGAAAGGATGTAAAAGAGCAAGCTACATAATTCTGAATATATGTACATGCACATACTGTAGGCTTCACCGAGGCCATACCATATCAAAAGGCTGGGTTAAATCTTTACTGGGTGGGAGTATAACTGAGGAAAAACATCATGACTGAATGCTACAGGAGGAAGGGGTATAAAAACCCAGAATCTGCAGTCATGCTCACATGAACATAATACATTTACTGGTAACCTGACTAGAACTACTACGTGGTAGTTTTGGAATTTTGAGTAATGCTTTGTCAAGGGCATGAAAGGTGCATTTACAAACTTCTGAGGAGTATATTTTATTGGAGTCTCTGGGGCTTAGCAGGTAACCAATAAATATAATTTGTTTCTGCCTTTTATTTGAATCTAACTTTCAAATATCAGCAACTTGATTTAGCTCATTCTCATTCTTATAAATTCTTTATCTCAGAAATTTTACCAGGCCCTAAAGAATATTTTCTTGCACCATTCTCGTTCTTATAAATTCTTTATTTCAGAAATTTTACCAGGCCCTGAAGAATATTTTCCCGCACCATTTCTTGAGTCATGCTCTGAACTTCTGGGGTTCTCATTGTTTCAGTGTGCTGCAGTGAAAGTAGTGATTTTAAGATTCAGTGTAACAAGTTTTGCCTCTGAGTTTCCATTATGTTTTTTTTCTACCTATATGCACCATGGGTAACACTTCAGTGGTAAACTACATCTGTATATAGCAGACTAGTTAACACATTTATTTGTTATTACTGCACACCTAGGTACCTATGGGCCTGAAATTATATCCCGAGAATTGTAGGGGAGATTTCTTCCCCTGCTGAGCCTTATTCTCTGAAATGTAAGCTCAATGTAAGAGGCTACTTACTTATTTTCTCACTGTCAGGCATCCATCTTTGCTTCTCTCTTAGCCAGCTTCCTGCTACCCTGCTAGGATTGTCTATTCACTTTCTTAGCACCTTTAGTGTTGTCAGCTTGTAGCTGAAGGTAGCAACAGTGGGCTTCTCTGCTGCCTTAAAATCTTTACTAGCTACCCTGATCTCAATCCAGTCAATTGGTTCGGAGAATTTTTACTCCAGTGTACGCTTCCTACCTGCCACCTTGACAAGGTAAGAGTGGGGCATGCCCAAATGGATGGCACAGCGAGAACAGTCGTTTGTGTTATCCCCTTTTCCTTGGCAGAACAGTGTCACTCAACTTTTGGGCTTCTCATCTCTGATCCCATTACTAGTTCTACCCTGTAGGCATGACCCTACCATATCCTACTGCTTCTTATCCTACTGTCACGTGAAATGGTTAACGCAGAAAACCTGAGTGATAACAAATTCACTGCTGTCAGTCCGATCAGGTTCAATATATTAAACTGTTACAGTTCGGATACACTAATAGTGGCCTGCACCTTCAGCCTAGTTGTGCTCATGAACTAGCACGGCCACTCTTTGGTCATGTTCAGTGAGAAACCGATACGACTAGCTACTTAAACGATGCAGTTTATTTAAGTGACGGATATAGAGGTACTTACGATTGCCAGTGATAAATACACTCTCTGCAAAGCACATATAAATAAGAACGCATATAAAGCACACAACAAAGTTATAACAATACAGCCAGGCTATAAAAATGGAAAAGAGATTTTCTAGAAAGATTTCTGAGTTCTTAAGTCTTACCCAAAGGCATCCCTATGGGGAAGGAAAGAGAAGCCTAGCCCGTTGACTGGTCCCAGAAGTTCATATGATGGTGTCTTCCCCCACCTTCCCCGGGCTATTTTTATACTATAGTTTACCTTCAAGGTGGAGTTTGAGTGACTCTAGTCATAAATACCTTTATTATGATTGGTGTAAAACTCTTTCGCCTCACATTTAAAGGTATAGATTACAAAAACTCAGGGCGCAGAGGTGTTATAATGACATTATAATGAGCAAAGTTTGCGCAAAGGACAGCATTTCATCAAAATCTGACAGGATGTCAGGGTGGCTGGTGTGCACTTTATCAGTTCTGCAGGACCACCTCGTTCCCATACCTGCTGAACCATCACAGGGAGAGACCGTGAGCTTACCAGCCCACTTCGCTCCCCGTGTTGCTTTGTAAGCAATATTGTCCCGGGAATCACAGATGACATGGTGGATTCTTCACATACCAGCTGCAGCTGCATTTTACCCTAGACGCCTTTTGATTTTATACCTTTCCTTAATGTGTGAACAGTCCTGTATTTTGGTCATTTTAGTAATTATTCCACACCTACCATAGTCCGTTGGCTTTGTTCATCACTCTGCACGTGAAGTTGTTATGGGAAACTGAGGTTTTTCAACACAAGTTCTGTTGTTTTCCACAACTTGAAAATTCACTTTATTCCTCACTAATGAAGAACTCTTAAAATTTAGATAAGAGGCTCCCCCATGTTGCATATTCTCCAGGAGGTCAGAGAATACGTGATGTACTGTGCCACGCTCAGTGGAACTTCTTGCACTTCTTCCTGCTGCCTCTAAATTCTGAGCAACCTTCTGTGTCTGTTGCCTTTTAGCAAACTTGGCAATACTACCAACTGCTTCTATTAGACATACTTTCATACAAATTTCCTGTCTTTAGTGAGCATATTCAATTCTGGCTTTCCTTGTTAGTATGGTAATACTTAGGGTAAGATTTTTCCCAAGTTATTCTTCAGATTTTCCTTTCTAATTAGTAGCAGATGCAAAATGCTCTATGTGCACTGAATGTTGTTGCTAGCAATTAGGCAAAGTCTTAATTCCTTATTAGGTTTAATTGAGTAACATGACTAGAGATTTCTTAAAGTCTCACGGTCACAGTATTTAAAATCCCACTGTCTTTATGTTGCTTCTGGAAACAGTCTTTCTGTGATAATTTTTTTTCTTAATGGCCCCTTCTGTTAAGTATTAATTAATTTACTCGAGTCATGCTGATTTTGAGAAACAAGTAATTGATGAAAAGACCAAAAAAAAAAAAAAATATATGTATTACATCTTATCACCTTGCTGAATTAAACTCTTGTATTTGGTCTGGCTGAGGTGGTGTTAATTTTCCCCACAGCAGCCCCCACAGTGTACTGGTCGCTGGAAGGTAACACGCCAGTACTTAGGCTGCTACTGAGCAGTGCTCCCACGGCATCAGGGCTGTCTGTCCCACAGCCCCCTCACTGGCAGGCTGGGGGTGGGCAAGACTTTGGGAGGGGACACAGCCAGGAGAGATGACCCAAACTGACCACAGGGATATTCCATACCATATGATGTCATGCTCAGCGATAAGAGCTAAGAGAAAGTTGGAGGAGGGGGGGCATTTGTTATTATGTTTGTCTTCCGGAGCAACCCCTAAGTGTACTGAAGCCCTACTTCCCTGAGAAGTGGCTGGACATGACCTACTGCTGGAAATTAGGAAAAAAAAAAATTGTTTTCCTTTTCTTCTGTGTGCGGCCTTTGCTTTTGTTTTATTAAACTGCCTTTATGTTGACCTGCGAGTTTTTTTCCATCTTATTTTCTCCCCAACCCTGTCCTGCTGAGGAGGGGAGTGATAGAGCAGCTTGGTGGGCACCTGGCCTCCAGGCAGGGTCAACCCTCCACAAGTCTGCTGTGTAACAGGTGTGCAAATTGAGAACAAGGATATAAAATAACATGGCAACTGACAACTTTTAGAGGGTGATATTTGTATGGCAGAAGGAGGAAAACTGCAGTGGAGGGAAGATTAGTTTTCAAATTCTCAGAGCTCTGAAAGAATGTGAAGACAGCGGTAGTTACCACTGGTAGTCTGTTTAATGTCACAGGGTCAATAGCCTTCTGTTTTCCTGTCACTAAAGCATGCTGAATTTCTGGTAACTTCATTTGTCTTCTGGACATAAGCCTGAGGGGACTGAATCCACTCGGCAGCTTGGCTTACTGCTCACAAAGACTGAAGATAGTTTCATATGCTTGTGCATCAATGCCCTTGTCACAGCTTTCTTCAAAGATTTGTTGGTTAGATCTCACCACACTTCTGTGAGCTGGAGAGTACACAGTATGTGATATCTTTTGGCTTTATGTTTTATGCAACAGTCCCACTGGAACCATTTTTCAGTAAAATAGGAAACATCAGATTCTATGATGTCAAGAGCACACCAACAGAGACAGAAATGAAGCATCTAACTAGTATTTATCACCATCTTAATTTTCATAGGCAAGGCTTTGAGCCAGTTTGTGAAGATATACACAATAACAGATAAGCACCCTATGCTTTTGTCTTCCTTTTCTGTTCTTACTTGTCATCTGTTGGTGTTTCCTGCATGGATTCTGGCAGAATCTGTACCAAAACAGACAGTTACCCAGTACCACCAGCCTGTTCTGAACATAAGCTGATCACTACAGCGTAAGCAATAAAGGCGATGAGGTGAGAGGAGCGTGAGTTGGGTATTCTACCATCGTGCTGCTACCTCATTGCTGGTGAACTCTTTGGCTCTTCAAAGTAGGGGTTCAGTGCTGGCATTTGCTACTGAGTACTACTTCGTTTTGCCAGGTGGGGAGAGCTGATGCTGCTCATTTTCCCACG